TCATCAAATAAATATATTTCAAAATAACCGTTGATAATCGACACTATAAACATCTGACTTTCTTCTATTATTGGAAAACAAATTTATTGAAAAATAATAACACTGTATAATTAAGGTTACATATGAATAAATATATACAACATAGACACTCGTAAAAACAAAAAAACTGAAAGAAATAATCGATATAGAGATTAAGTTACATTTTCATGTGTGGATACTCAATCTTATGGCTCAAGTAAGTAAGAATTTAGTTGAGAGCACTGCAAATCCTTCTGACCTCTCCAGCTGAACCGGTGAGAGGATTAATGTCTCCCATTTTAATCATAGCGGTGATAAAATCAGCCTTAAAAGTTGCGGGCTTGGAACTGTACTCGGAGACGATGCTGTCTGTGGAACCTCCACTAAAAAGAACTTGATCCGATTCAAGAAGACCCTTCTTCTGAATCAAATTCTTGTAGTAATTGTTGTCAAATGAGTTCGGTGTCACCAACTCGAGCGGTGCCAAATTTGCATCACCATTGTTTGCGTCAGCTGGACAACGACGTTTGCGAGTAGTGGCAAAGTTAGAATCGATGTCACTTGCATTGTTGTAAATTCTGCCACGGAATGTAACGCAGCGAGCCTGTCCAATTGTGTGTGCACCTGACAGTGCAACCAAATCTCTCGCGTTGAGGCCTAAGTCGCCAAATCGCTCTCTAAGGCGGTCAAGGCTGTCTGTGAAAAGTGGAAGTGAACTTTCAGCTAGGATTTGGCTTGCTGTGGTGGAATCTCTTCTTCCCAGTTTCACCGTCCAAGATGGACCGCTCACGGCAACGGATGCATCCCGAGCGGCTACAGCGAGAATATCTGCGCAAGATACGACACCAGGGCAGACCTTCTCCACTTCAGCTTTTGCTTTATCTATGACTTCAAAGCCTCTCACAGAACCGTTGTTTTGAAATGCGCCCTTTTCACTTGTGATAGAAGGAGCGTCATCTAGTAAGATTGATGCATCACAACCCTACAAACACAATTCGTATATTCATAAAAAACTAAGACACTCAATATTGCACTACAATTTATAATTATATTTTACGAATAAAGTTAAAGTTTTATTAAAAACAACATGAAATGAGAACACCTACCATAAAAATACATTGTACATATATGTATATAAGTCAAGTAATTAGTACCTGGACAAAACAATCATGGAAATGGAGGCGGATTAGGGACGCGGCCATCCGCCTTTCACTGGAAACAGCTGTTCTTATGGCATTTTTTATAGTGGTAAGAGCGTTTGGACAGGTTTTGTCATAAAATGTAGAAGATAATTGCGCTTCGCTTGTTGTGCTCATGAAAACCAACATCACGAGTGCAACAGCAGCGACATTTCCATGGCCGGAAAAGAAAGGGAAAGACATCCTCATCGAGCTTAATTGAACTTAATCAATACAAGTAAGAAGCCACTAAATGAAAATATTTGAAGTGATGAACTGAATAAAGAATGAGAATGAATATTGAAGAAGTTGATGAAGATTAAGCTTGTGTGTCTTGTCTATATATAGGGCAGTTTCGTACGTACTCAAGCTGCTTTGGTTTGTCCAGGTCTCTATTTCCTGCAAACGCGTACGTCGCCTTTGTAGCTGTAGTAGTACCAATTCTGATTTGGTTGGCAAAATATATATGAAAGGTATTCGTCTTTAATGGATTGTGGTTTGAAGTTTCTCTTGTTACTCTTAATATTACTAGTCAAAGGATGAAAATTCGTCGTGTAAGTAATTTTATTTTACAGCTAGGTAATCTCTGTCCTGTTGCAAAATTGCATGGGTAATTAGAAATGTTAATATAAAACGGTTGACGTGCGACTTTTTTTTACCTCCATGCATGCATGCAATTGGGCATTATATATGTAAAATGTAGGTGCACTTTGTTGTTCCTCGGATTTGTTCTCTGTCTAGATGGATTCATAATTCTTACTTCATGCTCATAGGGTCATAGCAGCCCACGTTTTCCGTTGTCCCAAAACATGAAATTTTGATTAAGACAAGACAAACTTAATTAATTAAGGGCAAGTTTATGAGTAATCTTTTGTAGTGTATACAAGAGGTGGCTTTGGCTTAACATGTCCAAGGGATATAACCCACCATTTCTTATTTCTTTTCATATTACATTATCCTAAGCTATTGCGAGTTACAACCCAAAACTTAAAAATTTAAATGATTAGTTTAAGCTGTAATGTATGGAAAAGCTTTTAGAATTAAGCACATTGGTGATTTTAACAGTTTCTAACAAATCATGCATAACTGGCAACTAATTAAGTACTAATTGTGGAGTGATCGTGAGCCTTCAAATAAAAGTAATCATATGTTCACTTAAGAGCAATGCTGAGTAGGTCAACTTTTTTTACCAAAGTTACAAATTATGTTGATGAGTCACCAATACAAAATAATTAAGCACGTTAATTAACATTTAAGGAATAATTCAATCGGCAATAACTACGTCATATAGTTTACGAAATGTAATCTAAATAGTTGATCTTCTTAATGTTACCGGTTCACACCTAATGAAGATGAAGTAGCTCTGCTCTCGGATGAGGCTTCTGAACTTGTATAAATGGTCAACTATGAAACAAATAGATATGTATTTACTGAGACAACATTATGCTTTCTAATGTAGGACATTAACGAGAATATGGTCAAACATTTCAACTTATTAGTATAGTTGTCGCGGTCTGACTTTTGATGCCTGCAGTTTTTTGTTTTCGAAATAAATATATTTATTAGACACTAAAATAAGAGAAGCTAAGAAACTGCATATGCATTAAGCTTTGTGCAGGTCTATAATTATTTTTGGACCAATTCTCTAAAAATCATGTAGTCAAGTATGCGATTTGTGAGCTGCACACCACAAAAGTCAATCCACAAATTTAGAAGAGAGGGAAGAGATAGATTATGAGATTAAATAACTTTTTAATTAATATGATTCTCAATTTTTTAGGTGTTTGTTACATATCCATATCAAATGCAAGGAAGTGAAAAAATAGAAAATTTTGATTGGAAAATGATTATCAATCTCCTTTTGTCGTCATGCACTTCTTTACTTTGTTTTTGTCACTTAATTCACTCATTCCTTAATTTACTGCATTGATTCAATTAAGTGGTGAAAAATAAAGAAAGGAGTGCGGGAACAAAACGGGTCTGAAAAGTAACCACTTTACATTTCAGCTCTTATTTTAGGTAAGTAAACACACCATAAAATATAAAGAAACTAAATTTATTATAGAAAAGTCAAATGTGCTACATCCACATGCAACGAATGATAACGAGAGACAATGTCACGGTGATTCGGTGGCTCCACCAAATAACTCACATAATAATTATTCGTATTATTGGAAGAAACTATGCATTAAGAGAGATGTATTTGATTGAGAAATTATGTTTTCAATTGGAATTTTGAGAGATTTTAATTCTTTTAATGAATATATGGGTATTCAAATAAGATTTTAAGTGATTTATGAAATTGACAATGTATTCTATCAGAATTTTAAGATAGTTTAAAAAAATCCTTAGAAATCCGGTCTATTCAATTAAGATTTTAAGAGCATTTCTAAAGGAGATGTCATAATCCTAGATGGAATGCCACTGTACGTATTTGACATCAAAAGTCTCTCCAACCGAAATGTTATTTGCTGATTGGATTTGAAGGCTTAGTGATTTGATGTCAAATTTATTTTTAATTCATTGTAATAGTGGGTCCCTTATTCTACTAACATTTCAACCAATAAAAATTTTATTTCAACATTTTTTTAATAATTACAATCATTTAAAGCTCTGTTTAAATAATAAATAACATTTGACAATTCGGTTGGAGAATTACAAAATTTGACATAAGGCTTCAAATTGTCAGATCAGCCATCAATTGTAATTTGACTCTTATAATTTGACATTTCCTTTGGAGATGGTCTAAGACTATCTTTAAATGAGATGTCAAATATGCTTATAGGATTAAAAGACATTCAAGTGTTCTCCAATGGATATGTCAAATATGACGTGGCAGTTGAGTCATTTGACTCCTTACTTTCTAGCTGTTTTTTTTTTACAGCAAATAAAGAATGAGTCAAATATTTTAATTTAATTTTTTAATTCATGGGTCCCAAACAACCAATAGAATAAAAACTAAAATTAATTTTGATTATTTTTTAATAGTTAATGTAACTTTGAGCCCAATAAAATAATAAAATACATATTTGACAGATTCATTGGAAAATAAGAGGATTTAACACTTATATTCAATTTGCCATATCAGCTATCAAATATAATCTTGACATATTATATTCATTGGAAAAGAAGAGGATTTAACACTTGTAATCCATACATACAGTTAGAGAGAAATATAATCAACATCAGTGTGGACATAACCCAAACATTGAGGTGAACCACGATACATCTTGTGTTCTTTACTTTCTTGCAGATTTACGTTGTTCCAAGACCTCTCTGGTTTTGTGCATCAACATAACTCATTTTGACAAAATTCTGACGAAGTTGACTAAAATGACCATAGCTACATGTTTTGATAAGTTGAGTGACCAATGGTAATTAATTTTTAGTTGAGCGACCATTGCTCCAATTTAATTAAAGTTGAGAAATCATTACTACAATTTACTCTTATTTTTTACATCTCATTTGGAGATGCTCTAAAGAAGTTTATAACATTATACCTGTATTCAATTGTGAATTGATCCTTTTAAATAATTACAAAAAGGGGAGGAATTAGAGAGAATTGAAGAGAATTGAAGAGTTTTCGTAGCATATTTTAACATTTACAAATCTCACATATTCTCATGTGATTTCAGAGAATTAAATCAAAATTCTAGAATTTTTACAAATTAATTAAACTTCGTCAAAATTCATGGATTTATAAATCCACTAAAATCTATCAAAATTCCAATCGGATACATACTTTAAGAAAAATTAGGTGTAAAAATTTCTAAAAATCTAGGTGTATTAGATTGAGATTATAGATACTTTTAAAAGAATAAAAATAAAGTGATAAAATTAAAAAGGAAATAATTCAAGTTCTTCACAACCCACAAACGATAATCGATAGTAAAAATCCCCAAAGTTTTTTAGCAAAACAATTCGAAAACAATTCGAATTGGCAAAGCAGAAAATACTAAGAAGAACTGATCCATTCATTCTTTCTCAGGCTGCTTGCCGTTAGTTCCAGTAACGCCATCCACAGGAGGCAACGTCTGCACAAAAAATGCACAGCTTCATGAAACCCTAATACTAGAAGAGAGAGCAAGAAAAACAAACGAATATTGTGCCTCAGCGAAGGGAGTGAAACATTTCGTCGAACACCTTGCGTGCAAACATTCAGGGTGAAAGTGTAGAACACAAATTAGAGGCATATATCATTGGTTTCGTAATTAATCAACCAGGAATGTGTTTCCGTGTGTGAGAGAGTGACAGAGGATGAGAGAGTCAAAGAGGAGAGAGATCGTACAAGATCAGGCTTGTAGAGATTGTGGACAACGGATGCCCCGGCGAGAAGAGAAAGTACAACGACGACGGAGGACCAAGCCAGCGACGGAGTGCCCGTCGGCGGCCTCCCTCCCCCAAATTTCCGATTCATCCCCAGACCAAAACAACACAGTCGGCGGCGCGGCCTACAGTTGAGATTCCGACCCTGGTTTTTTCTCTCTCTTTTTTTCCTGTAATTAAATTCCCGCCCACGATTTTTTGTTTCCTTAGAACGCACGCGGTGTTCTCTCAATGGGCTTCAAGCGAACTTCATTTTCCTCCTTGGTATCCCCAGGCCCTATAACATTTGTTGTATGGCCCATGCAACCAAAAAGAAGAATAATTTTGTTGGTTTACTTTCTCCTCTACTTCTCGGTTAAAATCGAACTGTAGATGACCATAATTTTCTTCGACAATGGAGTATAGGAGAACGAGACTGATATTGGATTGCAGTTAGACAACTAGATTAATTGGTGACATAGACAACTAGATTAATTGGTGACATAGAAACAGACAGTTTCGAACTTTCAATTATCAAGTAACCTTGCAGGATCGTTAAAAAAAAATAAGACTATGAGAATGCTTAAATGAGAAGTGTTGATGCACAAAACCGGATGGGTCTTGGAACAACGTAAATCTGACCGTAAATCTGCAAGAAATGTAAATAACACAAGATGTATCGTGGTTCACCCCAAGGTTTGGGCTACGTCCACACTGATATTGTATTTATGAGGGAGAGAGAGATCTGAATATGAGAGTGAGAGCTTTGAGGGGATGAGAAGGCTTAAGAAATGGCCTCTGGAAGTGAGCAAGCTCCCCTAATTGTGAGGGTGAGGGGTCCTTTTATAGAATAAGAGCTCCTTACTTATTACATATTTGTCCATTCCTTTATTACAAAATTACATTTAAGTCCCCCGATTATTTATACGAGATCTAAATACGGAGGCCCTAAGTATGGTATAAACAGTAGTCCCCCAAGTGTTCAGTCAAGAGAGTCTTTTGGCTGGAGACTTGAAATTCAATCCATGTGTGGGCCGAAGTAACTAGATGTCGTCTTAAACTGATACTTGATATGAGGCGGTGTTCAAAGAGAAATGATGCTCAACTAGAAGTAGCACATGTTGCGAGGCTTCTCGACTTGTGACTTATGTTGCCTTGGTTGGCTCGGCTTGTGGTGTTGAAGGTAAGGGAGTCCCTTTTATAGAATAAGGGCTTGCTCCTTATTACAGAAAATGATGGGCTAGAGTTGATCTTTGCAGCGAGGCGGTTGCTCGACAGGCGGCGATACTCTCTAATGATGGTGATGGAGTCCCTTTTATAGAACAACGGCTCGCTCCTCAATACATGAATAATGGGTGCTCTCTAATGAAAGTGAGGGAGTCCTTTTTATAAAATAAGGGATCGCTCCTCAATACATGAATAATGGGCTAAGTCCCCCAAGTATTTTTTATGAGGCCCAATAAATGGTACATAGTGTAGTCCTCTAAGTCTTCGGTCAATATAGTATGTTGGCTGGAAACTTCAAATTGAATCTATGTATGGGCGGAAGTGGCGGTTGTTCGGAGGCGGTATTTGTATACCCTGCACTGAAGCTTTGTAGGTGAAGCTTTGCAAGTGAAGTTTTGCAGTTGGAGTTTTTGTAAATGAAGCTTTTGAAGTTGAAGCTCTGTAAATGAAGCTTTTGAAGCTAGAGCTTTTGTAAATGAAGCTTTTGAAGCTAGAGCTTTTGTAAATGAAGCTTTTAAAGCTAGAGCTCTGTAAATGAAACTTTTGAAGCTAGAGCTCTGTAAATGAAGCTTTTGAAGCTGATTGCTTTTGTAAATGTAGCTTTTGAAGCTGATTGCTTTTGTAAATGTAGCTTTTGAAGCTAGAGCTCTGTAAATGAAGCTTTTGAAGATAGAGCTCTGTAAATGAAGCTTTTGAAGCTGATTGACATGAGTGATGCTCATGAATGTTTATGTTGATTGACATGAGTGATGCTCATGAATGTTTATGTTGATTGACATAAGCGATGCTCATGGATGTTGACATGAGCGATGCTCATGGATGTTGACATGAGCGATGCTCATGAATGTTTATGTGTGATTGACATGAGTAATGCTCATGTATAATTTGAAGTACTGGGCGTACTTTTGATCACCTGGTTGGTGATAATAGAGGGTCTGGCTCTTTTTGGGCATATGGGCCTTTGCCCTTCACACAACATTCCAGCCCATTTATTTTGGGCTTTGCCGTTTTTTTTACCCTCTGATGGGGTTTATACAGATGTCTCCTAAAGATAAGAAAAATAAATTACATCATTCAAAGTAAGGAAAGTAAATCTCATCATTATGGTGGGGTGTTTATTCCTTGCTTTTGCTTTTGTTTTCTACTTTTCTTGATCGCCCTGCTCATTCTATGTCCACCCATGTTGTTTTGTAAGGTATCTTTTGCTTGCAGACTCCCTTGCTTTTCTTGGACAGCTTGGTCGTGCACATTCATTCTCACTCATTTTTTTTCTTTTTCTTTTTTGCTGTATGAACATCAGCTGGTGTACTCCAGCTGTAAAACCCCATCATAGTACTTTTCTTTCCACTTTTCTGCTTTTTCTTTCGGCCTGTTCAACTAAAAGCAAAAGAATCCCTAATTGCGCCCCTGCTTTACTTGCTTGTTTAGCAGCTTGTTCATCTCGTTCCCCCATTCAATCCTCACCCATCCCGAAAACCCGTTTGAAGAAACGGGCACCCTGGAACCAGAAAGCTGCAGACTAACTTCCTCGCTTATCCTCTTGCCTCCGAACCGCCCATCTCTGGCCACGATGACGTCAAGCCATGGGCACTCTGGCTGTCTCTTTGGTGAGAGTTACCACTTCCTGCACTATGTTCCTGGAGGTTACCATGTCGTGGCTTATATGATGAATCTTACGCATGCCCCACCGCCACCTAGTAGAGTGCTCTGTTTCTCTGCCCAAGTCATCAGATTTGTTGGTGAGAACCGAGACTTCTAGAGAGAGAGGTGCAGAAAGAAGAGAATATCACAAGCTCGGAACTTCATACATGGCCCAGCAATCCAACAGCTGCATCAACCTGGGCACTTCGTAGCACCAGCAGCAACAATAGCAGCACCACCACCAGCAATGGATGCACCAGCAGCAATGGATAGCCATGCAGTACCCGGCGGCGGCGACAATGGCGATGATGCAGCAGTAGATGATGGTGTACCCGCATCATTACATGCCTTACGGGGTGACTTCTCATCATCCTCACCACAATCCGAACCACCAGCGACCTCAGGCTGTGGCGTATCAGCAGTAACAGCAACAGCAACAGTCGCCGTCACAAAAATAGGGGCCTAACGACGAGGTCAAGACCATCTGGGTTGGTAACCTTCATCATTGGATGGACGAGACTTACCTTCACGGATGCTTTGCGCACATTGGACAATGGTTTCTTTTATGATTGTAAGAGGGGAATTTTGAGGAAGGTGAGGAGGAGGGTGAGAGTCCCTGAGAGTTTTTTTAGAGAGAGAGAGAGTTCTTTTCTCTAAGGACACAGAAACGAATAGAGAGAGAAAGAAAGATGAGATGACATGGTGGCTTGCTGTTTCTGGGGGTTTTCTGGAAAAGATTTGGGTTCTTGGTTTCTGCAGATTCATGGCAGAGGTGAAAAAATGAAAGATAACTGACATAACTTTTCGTATCGTTTCCCACATACGGCGCCAAATGTTGATGCACAAAACTGGAGGGGTCTTAGAACAACATAAATCAGACCATGAATCTGCAAGAAATGTAAATAACACAAGATGTATCGTGGTTCACCCCAAGGTTTGGGCTACGTCCACACTGATATTGTATTTATGAGGGAGAGAGAGCTCTGAATATGAGAGTGAGAGCTTTGAGGGGATGAGAGGGCTTAAGAAATGGCCTCTGGAAGCGAGCAGGCTCCCCTAATTGTGAGGGTGAGGGGTCCTATTATAGAATAAGGGCTCATCACTTATTACATATTTGCCCCTTCCTTTATTATATAATTACATTTAAGTCCCCTGAGTATTTATACGAGATCAAAATACAAGGGCCCTAAGTATGATATAAACAAGAAGGTTGCTCACCTTTCCAAAATTGAAAAAGAAAATCTTTTTTACTAGCATCGCATTTTAATTTTATGCTTACACAACTACCTTCAGAGGTGTAGTGCAATATATTCGAAGTTTCATATAATTTTCCACTTACATATTCTAATTCATGATTTCTTATGCGTTATATATGGAATAAAAAAGTATGTGAGTTTCACATGGCAATTATAGTTCAATACATGGAAACTCATAAATTAGTTTGATTATGGGCTAGTTTATGATGTTTATCTCATACACATTCAATTTTTCTCATATTTTCGAATTCCGTGATGTTTAGACACATAAATCATTATTGAATCCACCTAGTGTTAGTAATATGATTAGTTTTTTGTGTATGTAAAAATAAAGAAAGGAAAACATCTATAAGCATAACACAAGAATGTCAAGAAACAAGAGGAGTTGTAATGAATGAAACCCTAAAGAAAAACATATAGGATAATAGGCGATTAAAAATAGGTAAGGCGTGATGAAAATACTATACAAGAAATCAGAATAATGATCCATGCAGGTCATTGAATTTTATTAGCAAAAGCAACCATGTGGATACAGGGTCATATCAATCCATCTCATTACACAAGCACAGTCCTTACACAGATTACATTGATTTTTAACAAATTTATTAGCACTTTTTGTTGCACATGCATCTACGGCGGAAGCCACGACATTTGCCTCCAGTGAACTGCTCCCTTTTGCAGGTGTTTTTACAGTTAGTGGATGAAAAGCACAACCCCTTGAACTTGCCGCTCGCAGCCTCGCAGGTCCTTTCCTGAACTTCCTTGCTTGACTTACTCCTTGCCTCAACACCCAATGGCCCCATCTCTGTCAAATCCCATTACATTAAATATAAAGATCAAATTTTTTTTGGTCGAATAAGATGCGTTATTGAAAACATCATAAGAAATTAATTACTTAAAAGTGGTATAATTACCGGTAGCGGCTAAAATCAGGACAAGAACGAAGGCAGCTGAAACAAGACGCGTGGAACGCTCCATTTGAATGTGTGTTTATGTGAGTGTGTGCTTGATCTGTGTGTTTGTATGTGCGTGCTTGTGTATGATAAGAGGTCTTAGACGCTAATGCAAAGAACAATAACCATGCAAGGCTTATTATACAGGGGATCTAGGGCAGATTAAAGAGGATTGGTCTCCATAAAAAGAGGTAACTCCATACCCAAAATAAAAAGTTGAAATTTTCAGCTTAATTGGCACCCTAAACCAAATTTCTATTTTTGTTGACTAAGTTCTCCGCCCTATATTTTTCTATGCACATTTAACTTTTGTTTTAAAAGAATGTATGGGTATTAAGAATATGTGAGTCTGGAGAAGGTTAGATATGTGCATGTGCCATGCATAGTAATATTATTGATGTTATCGGGCCATGCCTTCAAATAAACGAGGAAAGAGAAAGAAAGAGAAACAACAGGACCATGCATGCATATTTCTGCGCTCAACTGAAATGTCTTTCTCTGTCCGTTCTTCCCACACGAACGATGACAATATTCCTTTATTTCATATAATTTTCCACTTACATATTGTAATTCATAATCCTTTATTCAATACATGAAAACACATGAATTGGATTGATTGGGGCTAGTTGATAATCTCATACACATTCTATCTTTTCTCAAATTTTTGAATTCTCCGATATTCAAACACACATACCTCATCATATTGTTGAATAAGAGCTTATTTAAAAGTACTTTTAAAATAATTGAAACGCTTTTGGTGAAATTAATTTTGAGTTCTTAAAGCAAGTGTTTTTTGAACGAAGCACCAAATATATGTTTCTTGCAGGAAACATTTAAATGCTTTTTAAGGATCTATTTGGATTTTTACTATGGATTGGTTTCAAAAGCATTTTCATCAAAATCACTTTTAGTTATTCTAAAAGTATTTCCAAACGAACCCTCTACTTAGTGCCAATAGGATGATTAATTTTGTGTATCTGACAAAGGAAAAAAAAAACATCTATAAGCACAACACAAGAATGTTAAGAAACAAAAGGAGCAGTAATGAAAGAAACCCTGTCGAAACAGGGTGATTTAGTTAATTAGCAAGAGTGGCCACTATATAGAAGGCTTAATAAATCTATCTCAATACACACAAGCACAGTCCAAAGTCCACAGACTCATCTCTCGCGCACAGATTCCAAACTACTATATAACAAAGTTAGCATTGTTTGGCGCACATGCATCTACGGCGGAAGCCATGGCATTGTCCTCCATTGAAGCCCTCTGACTTGCAGGTGTTTACGCAGTTGCTTGTGAAAAAGCACACTGCCTTGAACTTGCTGCTCTGAGACTCGCACGTCCTTCTCTTAGAAAGATTTTTCAGTGTGACCGTCACATAAAACGGTACACCACGTGTCTTTATGTAAATGATTGGATATGTGTGTTAAAAGGTTAATAACTTAAAAATTAAAATTTTTCACCACTTACATAAAAACACACGGTGTACCATCCGTATTCCCATCACAACTAAAAAATTTCCCTTCTCTCGACAGCCATTGGTCCCATCTCTACCAAATTCAAACTCATTAAAACGACATCAATCTTTAGCTTAAAATCATATTAATTAAGAAAAGAGACATGTTTAAGACTGCTTATGGAAGGCTTAAAGTGTTTTCACGACAAAAATGCTTCTAATTATAATTACGTATGACAGAAATTAAAAAAACACTTTTGAGTCGTGGAGGCATGGACGGAGTCAGAAACACTTTTTTAGTGGAGACAACTTTTAAAGATTAAATTAAATTGAAAATTCAATACAATGTATCTACTTTTATCCAACTACATGATTTTGGACTGGTGTTTAGAACGCTAAAATTGCCAACCATTAGCTTACATGACTAGGAAGGGTGAGAGGATAGGAAGTATATAACGTAAGAGGACAATTTATATTTTTAGTTGGAGCAATTTTCCATCATAAAAAGAGTTGAGTGGTGGCAACTGCCCCCAGTGGGCATATGCTGCCTAGTGCCTCCGTCCATGCGTGGAAGTACTTCATGTTCAATAAATATTTGTACATATTTATAATATTAATTATAAAAGGCAAAAGGGTTTATAAGCATAATTGCTTCTTTCATACCAATAGTAGCCAAAAACAAGACATGGACGAAGGCGACTGGAACAAGACGCATTGAGGACTTCCTGTTAGATCTATGCGTGTGTGCTTGTGTATGAATTAGAGATCAGATTTTGCTGATACAGACAACTATAACCATGCATAGCTTATTATTATGGGAGTTTTAACGAAAAGCCTATGGTACTGTTCATTTTAACGAAAAACCACATTTTTACACTAAAAAGTCAAACATGGTACTATTCACTTTACCCTTTATTTTGTCCTTATCATTAAAACTCAAAGTTTTCAAGTCATTTTCATTAGTTTTCCTTATTATATATGGAAAGAAGATCCATTTCCGAAAACGGATCTCAGCTCCATACCCAAAATAAGCAGTTGAAAAATTCCAGCTTAAAAGGCACCACAAACCAAATTCCTATTTTTGTTAACTAAGTTTTGGCTTCATAATTTAGATTACTGTAACCTAATTACAATTTTCATATACATAACAACTTTTTAACAAGTTTACAGTTAAGATTTCAAACTTAGGGTTGGTTAAAAACTTAGGATCATAATATTGATAAATATAAGTTCTTACAAATGCATACTATAGCAATACCACACATACCATGTAGAGAATATGTAGAGAAGTGGGAGCAAAATGTGTTAGTGTTTTAAAAATAGGTAAGAATAATGAAAACACTACACAAGACATAAAATTAATGATCCATGCAGGGTCATTCAATTTATTAGCAAAAGCTACCCTGTGGATACAGAGTCATTTCAATCCATCTCATTACACAAACACAATCCCAACAAATATTACATTTTTTTTAACAAATTAATTAGCACTTTTTGTTGCACATGCATCTACGACGAAAGCCCTGGCATTGGCCTCCGGTGAATTTCTCCACTTTGCAAGTGTTTTTACAGTTGGTAGACGAAAAGCACAACCCCTTGAACTTGCCGCTCGCAGCCTCACATGTCCTTTCCTTAGCTACCTTGTCTGACTTACTCCTTGCCTCAACACCCATTGGTCCCATCTCTGTAAAATCAAATTACATTAAATATAAAAATCAGCTTTTTGTCAAATAAGATGTTTTATTCAAAACATCATAAGAAGTTAATTATTAAAAAGAGGTATAATTACCGGTAGCAGCGAAAAGCAGGACAAGAACGAAGGCAGCTGAAACAAGACGCATAGAATGCTCCATTTGAATATATGTTTCTTTGGTGTGTGATATGTGTGTTTGTGTGTGTGTGCTTGTGTATGATAAGAGAGATCTCAATCGCTAATGCAAAGAACAATAACCATGGAAGACTTATTATATAGGGGATATATGGCAGATTAAAGAGGATTGATCTCCGTAAAGAAAGGTAGCTCCACGCCCAAAATAAAAGGTTGAAATATTCAGCTTAATTGGCACCATAAACCAAATTCCTATTTTTATTGACTAAGTTCTCCAAACTACAATTTTCTATGCACATTAGGTTCTCTTTTTCAAGCACATTTAACATTTCCTTTAAAATAATATTTGGGTTATAAGCACATTTGGCTTATTATTCAGATTTTTATATGTAAACGAAGCGCCATATATATCTCATCGGAAAGACCATAGTTCTTATAACGATATAATTTTTTTTTTAAATTTTTTTGTTTGTTTATACCATAATAATTTAAATTATATAGATAAGGATTTGAACATTAGGTATAGAGAAGATTATTACGTTACATTAGCTAACTTGGCTAAGCCTAGTAAAATGAATTTAAAAGTAGAATAGTGGAGGAAATAATGATTAATTATATTTCAAACATAGGACATTACAAAGACTTAAATTTGTTGACAAATAAAGAAGTTACATATAGCATGTCATATTGTATAAAATAATTCATGACGGTGCTACTTAACAAACAAGAACATTAGAAACCATAACAACGATACAATATTAACAATCCAACTATGACTTGGGTCATTTATTTATTCCGGCTAGCTCCACACTAGTACCAAAGTACATATGTCCATGAACACACTGTTAATTAAGTGATTAGTGATCAGCTTATCAATAGCTTAATTAATTAGCTAATTAACAATGTCCAGTGCAAAAGCATATACGGCGTAATTAAGCCACGACAGTGGCCTCTGGGGTGTAAGAAGGATGAAGTTCAAAAGTGTGATCCAAATGAAGAGACTATCAATGGTTAAAATAAAAGCCATGTCAAAAGATTAAATCAGCTAAAATACATTTAGTTAGTTAGTTGGAATCTGGAGAGGTTAGATAACTTGGTTAGAAGAAGTTAGTTGAGATAAGGAGGTTATGAATTACTTGCTTCACAAGTCTTGTAGCTGAACACATATATAAGTGAGCGTTGTAAATCATACGGTATTAAGAAAGAAAGCTTTTATCTGATATACATCTCTATCTCTTTTTCTCTCTCTGTTCAACCTTTTCTATTTCTCTCTGTGAAACTATCTTAACATGGTATCAGAGCCGGACGATCCGGTGCTTCCGCTTCCTACACATTTTCTTCTCTTCTCTACCCTCTAGTTTGCATCTTTCTGTGATATTTGGCGTTGGAAACATACCAGTCGCTTCGAAGGTTGGTTTCTTCTCGTTTGCCCACCAACTGTTTGATCAAAAGTCTCAATCAAAGTTCGTCACGCAAATCTGCAAAATGGTCACTGCTGCTCAATTGCAAATTGTTCAGTTTCCTATTACTGGTCTTCTCTCCACCGTCTCCACTTCTGTTACAGTAAAACTCGATGATTCAAACTATCTTACATGGAGCTTTCAAGTTCGATTGCTTCTGGAAAGTCATGGCATTATGGGGTTTATCGATGGTTCACGAAAGTGTCCACCAAGATTCAATGAAGATTCTAACACTGAAGGGATTGAAACTGATGACTATTTAGTCTGGAAAATGCACGATCGTGCACTAATGCAATTGCTCATAGCCACATTATCAACGACTGCCATTTCATGCATCATTGGGTGCCAGAGTTCTGCATAAATGTGGTTGAATCTTACTGAGCATTTTTCTGCGGTGACAAAAGCTACAATCTTTCAGATGAAGACAGAGCTTCAGAATATCAAGAAAGGGTCTGAATTCGTTTCTGTTTATCTTCAAAAGATTAAGGATGCAAGGGATTATCTTGCTGCAGCTGGAGTATTATTTGATGATGAAGATATCATTATTCTTGCATTGAAAGGATTACCTTCAGATTTCAACACGTTCCGATGTGTGATCAGAGGACGGGAAAATGGAATATCTCTCAAAGATTTCAGGTCTCAACTTTTGGCAGAAGAAGCAATCATCAATCAATCGTTTGACAGTTCTCCTGGTTTGTCCTTTGGTAGTACTATGGAGGACCAAGTTCTGCCAGTCATAGTCAAGGGTCTACTCACGGTAGTGGATCGTATAACACTTTCAATGGTGGTTATCACACTTATGGTAAAGGGAGTTCTTTCAGAGGCAGAGGGAAAGGCCGTCTTCAGTACAATTCAACTCCAAGATTTTCTAATGGTAATCCCGGTATTCTTGGTACTCCAAAACCATACCAGTCCTACTGTCCGGATCACCCATCAGAAATCCCCACCTGTCAAATATGCAACAAAAAGGGTCATGTTGCTGCAGATTGCTTCCAAAGACATAACACCACCGCCTCAAACTCTCCTATTCAATGCCAGATATGTTGGAAATATGGACACTCAGCCCTTCAATGCTACCACATGAGTAATTTTGCCTATCAAGGGCGGCCCCCAACTCCTAATCTCACAGCTATGCATGCAAATCATCAACCTTCAGCACCAACTTAGCAATTTTGGATTGCAGATACTAGGGCTACATCACACATGACCTCTGAATTGGCAAACCTGGATCTATCTACTCCATATCAAGGGTCCGATACAATTACTACTGCTAGTGGTGCAGGTTTGCATATTTCAAATATTGGCACTTCTACATTGGTTGCCCCACATCATTCTCTCACTCTTAAGAATGTTTTACATGTTCCAAAGCTTTCCCAGCATTTGTTATCAATTTATCAACTATGCAAGGACAATAAGTGTCGATTCATTTGTGATGATGTTTCTTTTTGGGTTCAGGACAAATCCACAGGGAAAATACTCATCCAGGGGCTGTGTAAAGCTGGTTACTATCTTATACCTTTCATCTCATCCCACAAGCAGTCATCCTCATCATCTGCATCTCATTCATGTTTCCTTGCAAAACCGGTTCATTCAAGTATATGGCACAAAAGGCTAGGGCACACATCCAACGCAATTACTTCTGCAATCCTTCATCAATCTCAAGTTTCTGCATCATTAGATACATGTTCATCACCTTGTACACCATGTTTAGAGGGCAAATTTACCAAATTACCTTTTCGTATTCCTGTTTCTAAATCTGTACACCCTTTAGAGAAAATCCACAGTGATGTATGGGGCCCTGCTCATTTGCTATCTTATGAAGGATTTAGATATTATGTAACCTTCATAGATGATTGTACTCGTTATACATGGATTTTTCCATTACGAAATAAAACAGAAGTCTTTGCAACCTTTGTTCAGTTTCATGCTTATTTGAGTACCCAATTTTCTGCTGTAGTCAAAATATTCCAAAGTGATGGTGGTGGTGAATATACAAGTAATAAGTTTCAACAGTTTTTGGCACAACATGGCATTTTACATCACAAATCATGTCCTTATACACCTGAATAGAATGGTTTAGCAGAACGAAAACATAGGCACATTGTCGAAATTGCAATCACCTTTATTCAAACTGCAAAACTGCCTAACCAATTTTGGGTTCATGCTTGTGCTACTGCTTCTTATCTGATCAATCGAATGCCATGTGCTTTATTACATATGAAATCCCCTTTTCAAATGCTATATCACACTGTTCCTGACATTAAACATCTCCGAGTCTTTGGTTGTGCGTGTTTTCCTCTGCTAAAACCATACAATACCTCTAAATTTCAGCCTAAAACAGCCACTTGTGTGTTTTTGGGATATGCTAGTCAATACAAGGGCTACATATGTCTTGATTTTATTACGGGCAAATTATATGTCTCTAGACATGTGTTGTTTGATGAAGCTAGTTTTCCATACTCAAATCCCATATTTTCTTCTTCTTTTCAAATGTTTCCTGCATCATCTCAGTTACATTCATCACAAAGTCCAGTGCATCCACCATAGTTCACACCAATCATTACATTATCAAATCAAGTATCATCACCCTCATCTCATTCATTATCATCTCCGACCACAGAATCTTTGCCTATGCATTCATCTAGTGCTTCAGAATCTCTTTCTGCATCTCGAGCCTCAAAATCATTGGATACAGTTGCATCTCGAGCCTCAGAGTCCATTTCTTTACCTTCCCATGAACACACTGCAGTACATGCACCCAGGGACTTATCACCAAATCCCATGCCCTTCTCTAGTGTTGGTACATAGCACCCTATCCATGTGGATCCTGATTTTCACCCTGAGAGTCTAAGTGTGGTTTTACCTATACCACTGAATGTTCAACCTATGCAGACAAGGTCGAAGAATGGGATGTTCAAACCGAAAGTGTTTTTAGCCACAGTTACTTCTGAACCTAAAACATTTAAAAGTGCAACACTGATTCCTGAATGGCATCATGCAATGAAAGAGGAAATATCAGCTCTTCATTCTCAAAAGACTTGGACTTTGGTACCCTTACCACCTGCTAAGAATTTAGTCGGGTGTAAATGGATTTACAAAATCAAGAAACATGCAGATGGCTCCGTGGCAAGGTATAAGGCACGGCTTGTAGCACAGGGATATAGTCAAGAAGAGGGAGTTGATTACTTAGAGACTTTTAGTCCGGTAGTGAAACCTACAACTATACGACTGATATTTGCCTTAGCTGCTCAATTCAAGTGGACTCTTTGGCAGTTAGATGTTAAAAATGCCTTTCTCCATGGCATCCTTTAAGAGGAAGTGTATATGGTGCAGCCTCCGGGGTTTGAAAGTACATCACATCCCTCAGACTATGTTTGCAAACTTCACAAATCATTATATGGCCTAAAGCAGGCTCCTCGAGCCTGGAATGAGCGATTTACCAGTTTCTTACCCAGTTTGGGATTTCAGGTATCCTCGGCTGATCCGTCTTTGTTTGTACAACAGTCTACAAAGGGCACTCAACTAAAATACATATAGTTAGTTAGTTGGAATCTGGAGAGGTTAGATAACTTGGTTAGAAGAAGTTAGTTGAGATAAGGAGGTTATGAATTACTTGCTTCACAAGTCTTGTAGCTGAACACATATATAAGTGAGCGT